AAAAAAAAAACAAACAATTGTTCTACTTTATTGGTTAAAATTTTTTTCTTTGGCCATTAGGGGGCACCAAGACAGCATTAACTGGCTGCCGGGCTATATGATGGAGAGGTGCAAAAAGCAGCCTGTATTATGGACCTTGAATAGTACCTTCCTTACTGCTTCTCCAAAAGAAACTAAGCCATTTGGGTGGATAAGTGTGGTCACAGTCTTTTGAAGTTTTACTATAGGAATTACAATAAATACTATGTACAGAGTGGCTATAACTTACTGCTTTCACATTCTGAAGATTTCATGAAATGGAATAGTCTTTAAATTCTATCCAAGAAGAGGTTCCAAAAATTCATGTAGTTACTATAACTTACTTTGGGATAGTAGCACAGAAATAAGGATCTACTATAAAATCCCTGATTTATGCATCTGTCTTCCTTTTTAGTCACTGTCCTGTTGATTCTACCTTAGATATATCTTTTCAGCCTTGCCTCTTTGCTCTCTTCCTCTCACCATCTTAGTTTAGGCATCCCCCTCCTTGCTTTTTACCTTAACCATGTCATCAGACTTCTAAGTAGTTTCCCTCTTTTTTATATATTTTTTTTATTGATTAAGATATTACATATGTGTCCTTATCCTCACGTTACCCCCTACCCCTCCCTCATGCTCTCATCCCCCCCACCCGTTGTCCGTGTTCATTGGTTAGGCCTATATGCTTGCATATAAGTGTTTTGGTTGCTCTTTCCCCTTTACCCCCACCCTCCTCTACCCTCCCTCCAAAGCCCCACAGTCCAATCAATGCCTCTCCATCTCTGGATCAGTCCTTGTTCATCAGTTTATGTTGTTCCTTATATTCCACAAATGAGTGAGTTCATGTGGTATTTATCTGCTCACCGGTTCCATCCATGTTGTGGCAAATGGCAAGAGTTCCTTTTTCTTCTTCCTCTTCTTAAAGGATACCTTTCAGCATTTCATGTAATGCTGGTTTGGTGGTGATGAACTCCTTTAGCTTTTTCTTAGCCGTGAAGCTCTTTATCTGACCTTCTATTCTGAATGATAGCTTTGCTGGATAAAGTAATCTCGGTTGCAGGTTCTTGCTATTCATCACTTTGAATATTTCTTGCCACTCTCTTCTGTCCTGCATGGTTTGTGTTGAGAAATCAGCTGACAATCGTATGGGTACTCCCTTGTAGGTAACTAACTGTTTTTCTCTTGCTGCTTTTAAGATTCTCTCTTTGTCTTTTGCCCTTGACATTTTAATTATGTGTCTTGATGTGGTCCTCTTTGGATTCCTTTTGTTTGGTATTCTCTGTGCTTCCTGGACTTGCAAATCTATTTATTTCACCAGGTAGGGGAAATTTTCTGTCATTATTTCTTCAAATAGGTTTTTAATATCTTGCTCTCTCTCTTCTTCTGGCACCCCTATAATTCAGATGTTGGTGCGCTTGAAGTTGTCCCAGAGGCTCCTTACACCTC